ATATTTCGACAGTCTGGTCACAATATTGCAACATAAATAATGACTGTATCAGCAGTCATATATTCATATAATTGGATAACCTACAGAGCACGGAAGAAACGGCAGAGATTTTAGTTCTGAAACCTCATGAGATCATAAAAGCTTTGAAAGTTGTTTGGAATCTCTTGAAATTTTGAAAACTAAGGTGCGGGTGCGAATGTGAGTCTGAATAGAGAAGAGAAACACCCACACCTATATCCACATCCAGCCACCCTCTTAACTCTGCAAAATTCAACTATAAAACTTAAAATTAAAAAAGAAGATATGTTCCTTCTATATTACTAAACTTGTGTACTTGAGTGCAGTTGGTCTACTCACTAATAAAAGATATGGATGTTTGTAGAATTATCTGAACATCGAAGAATGAAAAAAATAATAATTTCATTAACAGGAATGTTGTTGAAAAGATACTAGGAATGATGAAATTTTATAATTTAGCTAAAAATAAAATGTCTGTCAACTTTTTTTTATTTAGTACTAGTTTTATCTTTAATTAAATGATAAAAATGTATGTCTCACAGTTTGTTTTAGGAAAGCATAAATGTTTATCTAAACATTTTCACTAGATTTAGTAAAACGAAATGAAATTTTAGTAGGATTGATGTTGAAAAGATGAATCTGAACATGTTTATGTTCATTTGGAATATTGGTTTAATCAAGAGATTTTTCTTACATCAATATGATGTTATAAAAAAAACTCTTTCGTTCATTAAGAAATTAGAAGAAAAAGAAATGTTTTTCTCAGCGACGCGACTACATTTTACAATATTAAACGTCTTTCTACGAGATCCATAATGCAAAAAGCTTCTACTCTTATCAAATTGAAAAAAGTAATACCTAGAAATAGTTTATTACGTCAATGGTTTCCTGATATTTTAATGATAATAAGGTAATGTTTGCTCATTTCGGATGGTTGACATCCAAGAGAAAAACAAAGAAGAAAACCTATGTTTTTAATCACACAAAGTAGCTTGAGTGAGCTCTTATTCATTAAACTACATTTGTCGAGAAAAATTCTCCAAAGGTAAACATATTTATATCGAATAAAAACATGTTTTTTCTAGTTATATTCAAGTTTTGAAACCGATCTCATATGAAATAAAAGTAAAATGATTTTAACACACAGTTTCGTCTAATTTTTCTCTGTAATAAACATTTCGAACATGCTATTTGAATTACTATGCTTTTGTTGTTTAACTAGCAACAATCATTGACAATAAATAAAACAATATTATGAGATGATATTTATTAAGAAATCTTTCATAAAGACATAAATATTTATGTTGTTCTTCTACTCTATTTTTAACATCATCTTTTTGTTAAAAAAATTACAATATTAGATCTCGTTTTAAGGAAATATAGTTTGATCGTATGTTCAAGTGACTCTTTTTCTCCGAGAACGTAATATGTTTCAAACAGGTTATTTTGCAATTTACCTTTTACTAAATGATCCTTGTTTACAATGATCATATAATAATTTTATTAATTACATAGATAATTAATCCATTGAAGTAGAACCATCTTACGAGGGATGGTCACCAATTGTTCAATCACTATAAGTCGAAACTATGTGCGTCATGTAGGTTCTAATAATCTATGAATATCGTGAAAAGCGTTCGGACCGCTACCTTATTATTGTCGAGATACTGCACTTTTGTAGTATTTTTAATTAAGCACGATGCTGTGGTTCCCCTCAAGAACCAGAAAAACTAAGTTTTGAGTTTTGACTTGAAACTTTGTACAGAAACAGGCCTCATTGAGAGTAGTTTATTGTGAAAGTTTCAGATCTTTTGGTTGTTCCTATCCTAAGATACAGCTAAAAAGGGGTGTTTTTACACTGCTCATATACTCTCGACAGGTTTCGATGTTCGTATTTCAGAATAGAAACAACCAAAAGATCTGAAACTGTCACAATAAGCTATTCTCATTGAGGTCTGTTTCTGTGCCAAATTTCAAGTCGAAATTCAAAACTCAGTTTTGCTGTTGCTCCTGAAGGGAATCATGGCATTCTGCTTAACGATATTGTAAAAATGCAGTATCTCGACAGTAATAAGCTAGCGACTCGAACTCTCTTTCAGGTATTCATAGCTCATTAGGACCTACATGATGCACATGGTTTCGGCTCAAAAGCGATTGAACAGTTGGTGACCTTTCCTCGTGAGCATCAAGACAATTATGCCTAATAAACGTGTTTCTCGTTTATTATGTATACCATATTTTATTTTTCTACATTCTTTTCTCTTTGCTGTTTCTCATAAAAACAAATAATCATATAAGCACTAAAGATTATAACAAGAATAGAAGTATAAAGATTGGGCGTGGATGTGGGTGCAGGTGTGGGTGTCTTTTTCTGCCACTGATATTCACACCCGCAGTCACACCCACCCACACCTACACCCTTTAAAGGGCATTTTTTTGACAAATCAAACAATCGAAATTCACTGAGTTTTTTTCTATCTGTAAACTATATGGAGAGGAATTTAAACTATTTTTTATTCAAAAACATATGGGTTGAGGTGTGAGCTGTAGATATGAGTACAGTCGATACTTCAGAATTACAGTCACACCTACAACCATACCATGCAAATGAATTAATTAATGATGATCGCATGCTTGTCGAAGCTTCTTGTTATTACAATAGTCGTAATTCAAAACTACTCTCTATAGACTTTACTTCAGAATGTAATATCATTTTTTTGAAAAAAATTAAAAACGTAACATGATCCTACTACAACAAATGCGACGTGCTCGCACATTTATTGCTACACTTAATTTATTTAAAACTCATTCTTTCGATCATTTGACGGAAAACGAAAAGTTTTGGTCGACAAGAATTTATATTGTTTTACTTTATTCGGTAATATTATTTCTCGTCATTTATACTTCAATGGATACGGTAAATGAAATAGTAACTGTTCAGATGCCGACTCTAACGGACTACGAACGTTTGTCCATTGAACATTCCAATTCACTTTTATGCCCATGCTCTCGTCTTAGTATACCGTATGGACTATTTATTAAATTTGAAACTCAGTTTCATCCGATCTGTAACAGTGAATTAGTCTCAAAGTCATGGATTGATGGTTTGTTCAATAAAAACGCCAGTTATTATCTTCCTATGGATATTCGAAGTTCATTCAGCGCTCAATTACAACTTATTGGTTTACTGTGTGATTTCTCAAATATTACCTTGGTCAATAGTCTTAACGAGATGTCAAACACTCAATTAATTACTCGAGAAGTCATCTCGTCTATTATTCTTCAAACTCAAGTCGATGATTTAGTTGATAATTTTCGAATTCAAATTTCAACGACACTCGATCGTACTTTGAAACTTATTCGTGAGACATCAGTTGGCAACCTACTCGTATCGGGGTGGAAAACCGATGCTTCTGCAATTTTATTCGCTGCAAATGCTGCTGGTGATCTATGGGCTGTTATTGAAATGAATATTCTTCCTCAATCTGCCGATGGATTACCTTGCTATTGCTCAACTACATTTCAGTGTCGAAGTCGAGCGGCCATCTATCAAGAGACAGATCCTGGTAATACGGCTGGAGATTATGCGACTTCATTTAATATCTCGATGATTATTGACTCATTTGAAGGGTTCGTGAGCAGTTGTGTTCCACTTGAATCCCTTCTCAGCTCTACCCTCGAGTGTTTTTTCAAACAGTCTTGTCTTGATAAGTTTATTCGTCATTTTCCTCTCAAGAAAATACTTGCACTTGACTCGAACTCATCGTCATGGTCATTAAACACAAGTATTGAGAAGCTCATTCAGAACTTATTTATTGATCGCCAAATGGTTTCAGTTATTTATAGTACATTTTTTGCTGCCTGTGAGCCTCTTTACTGCACGTATACTTTGAAGACACGAAAGACAATGCTTCAAGTTATCATCAATCTCTTTTGCCTATATGGAGGCCTTGTAACCATTTTTCGTTTTTTCGTACCAAAAATTGTTTATTACATTATGAGAAGAAAACAGCCTCGGCCATCGACGACAACAGAACAAAGTAATTCAAAGAGAAAGATTCTTACTCTTCTTTTTCTTCATGTGATCTCTATGTTCTAGGCTTACTTTGGCGAGATCGGCTCAAAAAGCTACCATGGGCGTTCTTGAAACATATCACGTCTCTGAACTTGTTTTACCATCCCACTGAGAGTGAACGTCGAATTCGCATAGGTCGCTACTTCACATGGTTATACCTTGCCTCGTTCTGTGGGAGTATAATCGTTATGATGTTATACATCGGAGTCTCCGTACAAACACATACTAAAACTGTGTATAATCCTTCTCTAATGCAATATGAAAATATCTATGCACATTATCCATATTCACTTTCATGCCCTTGCTCTCGTTTAACTATTGATTACAACCTTTTCATACACATTGAACCAATTTTTCATCAAGTATGTTCAAGTGAATTGATCTCACTCGCATGGCTCCGATTGCTCGGAGAATTATTACAGAATATATTTTATCTGTATTACACAGACTTTCGCATTACTGCCGTCAGCCTATTTCAGTTGCTTGCTACATTCTGTCAGCTTGCAAATAGAACAGTTTTCAATGCAATAACTTTATTTAATAGTACCCAATTTATAAGTTCACAGTCTATACCATCTATAATATTGTTACCACGAGCGCAATCTCTTATAACTGCATTTACGCATCGAGTAGCAGACACATTTGGTAGACAACTTCGACTCCTGCAGGCTATAACACAAGGCAATCAACTACTTTCTGGCACTCTAAATAATTTCTTTTTGAATGTGACTGACAGTAAGCAAGTTGATATCATTCCGACATACGTCGTTACTGCTAATCAGACACTATGTTGGTGTGCGATCGATAGTCATTGTACCGAA